GTTTATACGCAAATGTGAGTCAAGAAGCAGGGGCTTTTTAATCGATATTAGAACGAGAAGGAGAGGTGAAGTGTGAACGCACAAGGAAACAAATGACGGGAGGGGGTAGAAAGGAGAAGGAGTGTATGTATTGCAGCGCGAAATTAAACAGGTGCAATCATACCAGCACTAAAGCTCCGGATCCCATCAGAACTCCGCAGTTAAGTGTTCTTGGGCGAGAGTAGTACTCGGATAGGTGATCACTTGGGAAGCCCTCGTGTTGCACCTATGTCTTTTCGACTGGCGAAAGTAGTACTCGGATGGGTGACCTCCTGCGAAGTCCTCGTGTCGCACCAATTTTTTTTCAGACGGGTCGTTCGACGTTACGCGCGACTGGAACTGGGGTCTGCTGGTTTATACGCAATTGTGAGTCAAGAAGCAGGAGCATTTTAATCGATATTAGAACGAGAAGGAGAGGTGCAGTGTGAACGCACAAGGAAACAATTGATGGGAGGGGGAGGGAAGGAGAAGGAGTGTATGTATTTTCAGCACGAAATGAAACAGGTGCGATCATACCAGCACTAATGCAACGGATTCTATCAGAACTCCGTAGGTAAGGGTGCTTGGGTGAGAGTAGTACTAGCATGGGTTACCTCCTGCGAAGTCCTTATATTTCACCCATTTTCTTGTGAAGTCCTCGTGTTGCACCCATTTTTTTTTTCAGATGTACCGTTCGACGTTACGCGCGACTTTAATTACGGTCCGTAGATTTATTCGCAAATATGAGTTACGGCGCCGTGGCATTTTACTAGATGTTTGAACGAGAACGAGAGGTGCAGTGCGCACGCACAAGGAAACAAATGACGGGAGGGGGAAGAAAGGAGAATGAGTTTATGTATTTGCAGCGCGAAATTAAACCGGTGCGATCATACCAGCACTAATGCACCGGATCCCATCATAACTCCGCAGTTAAGTGTGCTTGGGCGAGAGTAGTACTCGGATGGTTGACCTCCTGGGAAGTCCTCGTGTCACACTAATTTCTTTTTCAGACGGGTTGTTCGACGTTACGCGCGATTGGAACTAGGTTCCCCTGGTTTATACGCAAATGTGAGTCAAGAAGCAGGGGCATTTTAATCGATATTAGAATGAGAAGGAGAGATGCAGAGTGCACGCACAATGAAACAAATGACGGGAGGGGGGATGGGTGACCTCTTGGGAAGTCCTCGTGTCACACTAATTTTTTTTTCAGACGGGTCGTTCGATGTTACGCGCGACTGGAACTAGGTTCCCCTGGTTTATACGCAAATGTGAGTCAAGAAGTAGGGGCATTTTAATCGATATTAGAACGAGAAGGAGAGATGCAGAGTGCACGCATAAGGAAACAAATGACGGGAGGGGGGATGGAGGGAGAAAAAGTGTATGTATTAGCAGCGCAAAATGAAACATGAGCAATCATACCAGCACCAATGCAACGGATTCTATCAGAACTCCGCAAGTTAAGGGTGCTTGGGCGAGAGTAGCACTAGGATGGGTGACCTGCTGCGAAGTTCTTATATTTCACCCATTTTCTTAGGAAGTCCTCGTGTTGCACCCATTTTCTTTTTTTTAGATGTGTCGTTCGACGTTACGCGCGACTTTAATTATGGTCCGCAGATTTATTCGCAAATGTGAGTCACGGCGCCGTGGCATTTTACTTGATATTTGAACGAGAACGGGAGGTGCAGTGCGCACGCACAAGAAAACAAATGACGGAAGGGGGAAGAAAAGAGAAGGACTATATGTATTTGCAGCGCGGAATTAAACGGGTGCGGTCATACCAGCACAAATGCACTGGATCCCATCAAAACTCCGCAGTTAAGTGTGCTTTGGCGAAAGTAGTACAATGATGGGTTATCTCCTGGGAAGTTCTCGTGTTGCACCCATTTTCTTTTTTTCAGATGTGTCGTTCGACGTTACGCGCGATTGGAACTGGGGTCCGCTGGTTTATACGCAAATGTGAGTCAAGAAGCAGGGGCATTTTAATCGATATTAGAACGAGAATGAGAGGTGCAGTGTGAACGCACAAGGAAACAATTGACGGGAGGGGGAGGGAAGGAGAAGGAGTGTATGTATTTTCAGCACGAAATGAAACAGATGCGATCATACCAGCACTAATGCAACGGATTCTATCAGAACTCCGTAGGTAAGGGTGCTTGGGCGAGAGTAGTACTAGCATGGGTTACCTCCTGCGAAGTCCTTATATTTCACCCATTTTCTTGTGAAGTCCTCGTGTTGCACCCATTTTCTTTTTTTCAGATGTGCCGTTCGACGTTACGCGCAACTTTAATTATGGTCAGCAGATTTATTCACAAATGTGAGTCACGGCGCCGTGGCATTTTACTTGATATTTGAACGAGAACGAGAGGTGCAGTGCGCACGCACAAGGAAACAAATGACGGGAGGGGGAAGAAAGGAGAAGGTGTGTATGTATTTGCAGCGCGAAATGAAACAGGTGCGATCATACCAGCACTAATGCAACGGATTCTATCAGAACTCCGTAGGTAAGGGTGCTTGGGAGAAAGTAGTACTAGCATGGGTTACCTCCTTCGAAGTCCTTATATTTCAC